ATCATTGCCTGCCCTTGGACAGCCCTCATTTGAGATTTCAGGAAGGAGGGGAGCCCACTAGCTCTCACTAGCAACTAGTACTGACTGCAACTGTAACTGACACCCACCAAGTGATCACTTTTACTAAGCAGAGCCAGACAAGGGCCACCCTTGACAGCAAGAGCACAGATGACATTCAGAGATGCTGAAATAGAAGGTTGTTACTCAGGTCTTCGGAGCTGCACTGTGAGTGCTTGAGTATGCAACAAGGTCAGGGGAGGGCCCCAGGCTGAGATGCTAGTCTGATACCTTCATGAAGAGAGCAAAGGAGGAGCCACATGCTGCAGTGAGGCCCAGAGCATCCTTCCAACTTGTGTGATGGGAGGCCCAGGCAGCGTTCAACACAGAAGAACTGGGATGGTTTGGCTGTGTGTCCTGAGTACCCAATGGTTGGCCAAAGCAGCCCATGGTGGACAGTGCCAGTGTGGAACAGGGCATGAATGGAGGAAGCTGAGGCTAGTCATCCTTCTGCGCAGCTGGTTGTCCTTGGATTACAACAGCACCCTGCCAGGACAAAGGAAGCTCCCAGGCTCCCTGGACTGCCTTCCACACCACACTCCCATTGCCTCCAGGCCCTGCTGCTCAGCTCCCAGAGTCCCTCTACTGGGCATACTTTTGGTAATCCTCCTGGCTTAAGCTAGCTGGAGCCTGTCCTCCGAGATGTAATTCAACAGGCTCTAATTATTATCTGCATAAAATGGCCTTTAAAGAGTGTCTAGGAGGCATTGTTTATATGGCTGTTGGAAAGGCTTTTGTTTGTTTTCTGATGATTCTGGAAGAGTAAATCTGGGTTCTCATGAGACTAGACAAGAGTATACACCATTTATAGGTTTGAACATTCAAGGTTAACTCCATGTAAGCTATTTCTCTCCCTAAGCTTGTGCCCCATAGGGATATGCATCTGGAAGACATTAGACTGTCAGGTAGAACCCGCCTGTCATTCTAGCACTTGGGAGGGGAAGGCAAGCAAACCTGTTGTAGGCTAGCCTGGGCTAAGAGCAAAAAAAAAAAAAAAAAAAAAAAAAAAAAAAGCCCTCAGCAAATGAACTGATAATGCCCCACACCAAAATCCTAGAATACAGAAATAGATTTTGAGAGTTACTTAGTGGCTACACAGCAGAACATTACAGTCACTAAAGCAGCAAGGAATGCTTTTGCTCACATGTAAATGAAGGAAATTTCTGGAGTCAATGAGATGGCTCAGTGGATGAGGGTGCTTATGTCAAGCCTGATGATCTGAGTTTGATACCAGGACCCCCACTATGGAAGGAGAGAACTAATTTCTAAAAGTTGTCCTCTGACTACCACACATGTGCTCTAGCACATGGACACCCCCCCCACACACACACACACATACAAAGGGGCAGAGATCAGAGGATGGGGAACTTGCTAGCTGCTTAGACTAACTGAAGATATCAAGCTCCAGGTTCCACAAGAGTCCCTGCTCCAGAGGAAAAAGGACAGGTGCTAAAGTGTCCCTCCAGCCCCCTCCGATGGCTTCTGTGCATGTACAGGTACACACACTTCCACGCGTGCCCACACACTTCATAAACATCCTAGGTTTTTTATCGCTGTGATAAAACACCATGATCAAGAGCAATCCCGGGAGGAAAGGGAGAGGTCAGAATAGGAACTCAAGCCAGAAACCTGGAGGCAGGAGTAGATGCAGAGACTGTGGAGAGTTACTGCTCACAGGCTTGCTCCCTGCTTTCTTCTAGCACCCAGGAGCACCAGCCCAGAGCAGGGACCACCCACATTAATCATGCATCAAGAAAATGTATGTCAGGCTTGCCCTCAGGCCAGTCAAGTGGGGGTTCCCTCTTGTCAAAAGCCTTTAACTTGTATGAAGCTGTCATAAACCAGCCAGCATAGCATCTACACACATACACAAAAGGTTTTGATGAAGCAGAGTTGGGGATTTTATTACAAATTCAAGGAAAAGTATTCAAGGAGAGAATAAGCACATACCAAGAGAGGCTATGGATTCTCTGAGACGGACTCATAAAGTGAGAAACACCCACGTGTACAGACTCTACAAAGGAGAGCCACAACTCAGTCTCAACATCAGCCATTGGGACCAACATTCTGATGACTGAGATTACACCTTAAAAGGTTGCTAAGCCCCACCTCCTCTTTTCTCTGACTTTTGTTTTAAGATATGTATGTATGCGTCTGTACAAGTATGTATGAGCCAACAGACAAGTAGATAGAATATTGGTCCCTATCATCAGCCTCTAGGGAGCCTTAAACTAAAACCACCTGATTGTAAGTATCTACCGTAAGAAGGCTGCTGACTGTTGATGGTCCCTCATAGGAGGGGGGAAGACCTAACTGGACCTTCACCTGAGGTTCCATCTACTCTTTGCAACCATTTGTAGGCAGTTCTGCCATAACTGCATGGGATGTGCTGGAGTCCAGAAAGGTGAACACAAAGTGGGGCTCCATCTAAGTGGCTGTTTGGTATCACAAATTAATAAAAGACCCAGAGACAGATACTGGGGTTCAAGCTTCAAACTGAAGATCAGAGAAGCAAAGCAGTCAAGCCAGTAGGTCTTACCTTTACCCAGCTGAAATGGCAATCCTGTCTCCATGAAGCCTCAGAGGCAAAAGGCTCTCCCATCTCCTCCTTATATTCCTTTCTCCACCCAGTCATGTCCTCCTGTCTCTACCTCCCTAGTGCTGGGGTTAAAGGCCTGTGATCGCAGGTGCTGAGATCACCTTTGTGTGAGCTGTTTCTTTTATGACTGGATCAATTTCTCACAGTCACTGTGGCCTTGAACTAACAGAGATCCATCTACCTCTTAATCTTGAGTCCTGGGATTAAAGGTGTGTACCACCACTGCCTACTGACTAGTGTGGCTACTTTGATATTTTCATCTTCAGTGGCTTTAATAAATCATAAACAACATATCACCACAATTCATGCTGGGGTGAGATTTTCCAGTGCTTCAGAGTCACCCTAGATCCTGTAGGCCACCCCCTCAACCATGCTCTGTAAGTGATCAGATATTGTTTATATTTCCCCAGGGGAGAAATTCTCACAACACAGGGAAATGTCACCTAGCAGCAATCATGATGGTGACTGTCACAGAGATGAAAGATTACCTGGTTTGCAGAGTGTGAAGAAAGGAATACATTGGTAAGAATGGGAAATTACCACAGCCTCATGGAATCCAAATGAGTGGCTGCCTCAGAAAGCCCAAATCTAATGATTCTATGTATGTGTTATTTCTTATTGTTGTGACAAAATACCTGACATAAAGCAACTTAAAGAGAGTTGTTTAGATTCAGGATGTGGTCAGTCATGGTAACTGGAGCAGTGGGAGCCAGGAAGCTGAATGTGTACCTCTTCCTACAATGGTGCACTTCCTGCAGTGGTGTACTTCCTGCAGTGGTGCACTTCCTGCAGTGGGACACTTCCTGCACTGGTGCACTTCCTGCAGTGGTGTACTTACTGCAGTGGTGCACTTCCTGTAGTGGGACACTTCCTGCAGTGGTGCACTTCCCGCAGTGGTGCACTTCCCGCAGTGGTGCACTTCCTGCAGTGGGACACTTCCTGCAGTGGGACACTTCCTGCAGTGGGACACTTCCTGCAGTGGTGCACTTCCTGTAGTGGGACACTTCCTGCAGTGGTGCACTTCCCGCAGTGGTGCACTTCCTGCAGTGGTGCACTTCCTGCAGTGGGACACTTCCTGCAGTGGGACACTTCCTGCAGTGGTGCACTTCCCACAGTGGTGCACTTCCTGCAGTGGTGTACTTCCTGCAGTTGGACACTTCTGCAGTGGAACACTTCCTGCAGTGGTGCACTTCCTGCAGTTGGACACTTCCTGCAGTGATGCACTTCCTGCAATGGAACACTTCCTGCACTGGTGCACTTCCTGCAGTGGTGTACTTTCTACAGTGGTGCACTGCAGTGGTGCACTTCCTGAAGTTGGACACTTCCTGCAGCAGGACACTTCCCACAGTGGTGCACTTCCTGCAGTTGGACACTTCCTGCAATGGAACACTTCCTGCAGTGGGACACTTCCCGCAGTGGTGCACTTCCTGCAGTTGGACACTTCCTGCAATGGAACACTTCCTGCAGTGGTGCACTTCCTGCAGTGGGACACTTCCCGCAGTGGTGCACTTCCTGCAGTGGTGCACTTCCTGCAGTTGGACACTTCCTGCAGTTGGACACTTCCTGCAATGGAACACTTCCCACAGTGGTGCACTTCCTGCAGTGGTGTACTTTCTACAGTGGTGCACTGCAGTGGTGTACTTCCTACAGTGAGGCTCCATCTTCTAAAAGTTCTGCAAGCTTCACACACAGTACTGCCAGCTGGAGAGAAAGCATTCAAACACATGGTCCTATGGGAGACACTTGATTTTCAAACCAAAATAGTATAAATGTAAAGGACAAGACAACAGTGATCGAAGGTGCTGGGCAGGGCCCTTGGGTGTCTGCAGAGGAAGTGGGGACTGAGGTCTGTCCTCTTTAACAGGCCCTAACTCCTCTTTGAGCACTTGTCTTTCTTAAAATCTGTAATAATATCTCCAGCTCTGCTTCATCATAAAGCTAATCCTGAAAGCTTTTGTGTGTGTGTAGATGCTGTGCTCATCGATTTTATGTCAACTTGACATAAGCTAAAGTCACTGGGGGAGAGTGAATAAGGGAATTCCTCTACTTGACTGACCTGTGGGCAAGCCTGTGGCACACTGTTTTGATTGACAGTTGATAGAATTGTTTGTTCAAGCAGAGATCAGCACGGCCATCTTAGACATCCACTACAAGATGGTAAGGTGTGACTGAGCATATTCAGGAAGTAAAGTCTGTAACACCCACAGCCTCCAACATCAGGAGTGCCAGCAACAAGGGCTTCCCATTCACTTTGCATCCACCCTCACTCTGGAGGAACAGGGGACCCACTTATCCTCATATCTTCCTTGATGTCTGCCTCACACTAAAGATCAATCAGCAACACTTTGCATGTTTCTACTGTTTTTAATGCTCAGAAGCTCTGTACAAAAACAAAACAAAACAAAAAACATAGAGGATTCCTCACAACATCCCTGTGAGGTAGGTAGGCAAGTATTATTCTCCCATTTTACAGATGGGGCAACTGAGGCAGAGAGGTAAAGTGATCCGCCAGTGGTCCCAGCATATCTCCAAGTCAGTGCCAACTGTGAGAGTGTGAAGGGTCCCCCTCTGGCCTCTGACTCCTTGGCTTCTTGTCTGGAAAGAACTGACATGCATGAAGCAGACACCAGCAAACCTGAGAAGCTGTGAACAGACATACAGCAGCTTGCAAAAGAAGTTGGCTAAGAGCGTCAATATATCCCCAGGCTGGAAACAACTCTGGTCTCTTCAAATATCACAGCTAACAGCTGGCCGGTCCTTCCGTCTTCCTGTGGAAGGACAGGAGCCCTGTCTCCAAAGTGTGCAACCACTGGATACCCCAAAGTGCAGTCCCAGTCAAGGCTCACCAAACACAGGCCTCTATGCTTGTCGCCCTACTGTGTGAACAAAGCTCAGCAGTGCCCCCAGGGAAGTGGCTCAGGGATCCTGGCAAGGGTGGGCCTGCAATCGGCTGACAATTCACCGCAGCCCTGCCTGACCCACCCCGCACTGTGAGCCTCCTGAGTCACTCTTGATCCTGCCAATGGGTTTCCCACACACAGATCCCTCCTGACTGGAGCCATCCTCATAGTCTTCCAGGCTGGCGACATTCATGAGCCAGGGGGAGCTGGGCAGAGCTGCCTTTAACATGGACCTGCCCAGCTCAATGACCCCGTCACCTACCTCAGGCAGCTGCTTAAAATGAACGAGTGAGAAGCAAGAGCAAGCCAGCCAGAGGAAGTGAAACAACGAACATGGTCAGTCTGCTGCCCACCTAGTCTGATGACCATCAGTGAGAAAAGGACAGTGGTGGCTGGCTGTGTGGGAAGCGAGCTTCCGAAAGGCTGTTCACCTGCTGTTGTGTGAGGGACACATGCTAGGCCTTGCCAGAGGCCATTACACACTCCAAGGATTCACAGAGAATGGCTGTGCCATCTACACTTCCCACAAAAGCCTCTTTGCAAAGGCTCTCAGCCCCTCAATAACTCCAGGAAGCTGGCAAGTGTTCATCTGAAGCAATGAGAAACTCAGGCCCCCGGCATGCCTGGCAAGGAACAAGAAAAAGGCCTACAGGAAGTCCCCAGCATCACAGGGTTCCGGGTCTCGGCTCTGCTCCTGCCAGCGGTGGCGGAGCCTTGACAGGGGCTGGTCCTCCGTGCTTTCTAGCTCAGGGAAGCCCAGCTGGTTAAGGATCTCATAGATGCCTGCTTTGGTTGCCACCTGGAGAGGGCAGAGATGGGGCAGAACTTCAGAGGAGGGGGCCATCATCCAGACTACATTCCTCATATCACACCCCACTCCCTTCCTGAGCTCTGAGACACATGGGTGAGTCTGAGAGCTGCCCTCAGCCAGCTCGGCAGCTACCACAAGTCTGCGTGTCCATCTCTAGCCACCTTGTTAAGAGGACCACTGACAAGTCTCTCTCCTGGGACTGTCAAATACATGGACAGTCCACAGCACTGGCCCGGCCACTCCAGCAAAGCACATCTGGGCAGGGAGGCTGCAGAAGCTGTGTGGATGCCAGAGCAGACAGCAAGACTTCTCTTTGCCTGGGAGATCAGCTCAGGAAGCTTGTTGGCACTGAACACTCAACACAGAGTTGATGGCCCAGTAGCCTGGCCCTTGGCCCCAGGCTTCAACCAACCCCAACACCTTCTTGGGGGCAACTTTCCCTGGAGTAAAGAGATGGTGCTGTCCCTCTTGCTGTCCCTAGGCACCCTTGTCCCCAGGGTAGGGATGTAGCTGCTGGTGTATCACTTACCTGGCAAGCCTAAAGCACTCGGGTTTGGGCCCTAGCAATCTATAAACCAACTTGGCATGGTGGTAAACCCCTGTAACCCCAGGAAGGTGGAAACAGGAAGATCAGAAGGTCAAGGTCATCCTTAGCTACATAGTGAGTTTGAGGCCAGCCTGGGCTATATGAGATCCTCCCACCTACATTCCACTCCAGGACTCAAAAAAAGAAGCCAAGCTTGGGCCTGCTCACCAAGGTGGTCTCAACATTCACCCTCAAATACAAAGATTCATTTCATATGCTTCCCCACATTGACACCTGCGACCAAGCCCCGAAGGCACTGCAGCCTGCATTCCACACCCCTGGCTCCTCCCTGTGGTTCTGAACTCTATCCAGCCCTGAACCCCCCCCCCCCCCCCGCACCTGTCCTATACCCGCTCTGATGGAGTTCCTCATTCCTGATCTCCGCCCACTCGCATCCTGGTAGCTAACCATGGACTTGAATTCAGACTAGAATGGCTGATGGATGGTAAGGGCGACAGGGCCAGCTTCCTGGCTGAGGGATAATTACAGGCTTCTTTCTTCTCTCTCCTTGACCAGCAGGTGCCAAGTGGGACTGGAAGTCCAAGTAAAGAGAGACCACAGGGGCCTCAGGGAGAGAGGAGCCAACAACCAGTTCCCATGACATTCATGAAGACGTCCTGAACCTCTGTAAGACCCCTCCACTAAAGCATACCTGGATCTTGCCAGGTCTGGCAGAGGCACTACACGTATGTCACGGAGTCCCCACCACCTTCCCAGATGACACCAACACTATTGCCACTATTCTAGTACTGAGGACAGCTGACTTACAAGACTGGCCACCCCGTCCAGGTCATGGGTGGGAGGAGACAGGATCTGGACAAACATCTTTGCCCATTATAGAGCACAAACGGGAGTTGAACAGAATAATGGACTAGTATCCAGGCATCCAGGCAGTGCTGGTCATGAGACGCATAGAGCAAGTTCCTAGCTGGCAGGCTGCCCTTCCCACCCCATCTCTCCCTCTTCTGTCCATTCATTGACTCGGCTGTCACACGTACCAGCTATCTGCCTGGTGAGACACTAGGCAAGGGACACAAGGGATGAATGGGACCAGGGGGAAAGATACAGCCCACCGTACCCATCACCCGCAAGCAGGCCTGTTGGTCTCACCGTGCGCATCCAGGTGCTGAAGGGCCTCTGCCAGGAGCCGGCCTTCTCCAGGCGGAGGTAGGCATTAAAGAGTATCAGGTAGATATAGCGTTCCAGGTACTGTAGGCTTCGTAGGTGCAACCTCCGAGCCTCCTGGGCATCTTTGGTGGCCTTTGCCTGGAGGACAAGGAGGATGGTGTCAGCAAGAAGACCATTATTTAACACACTCACACGGTCACTCACTGACTGAGCATCCAGCAAGGTGACTTCAGTACCAGAGCCTGGGGTACTGCCTGGCTTGGCCGCAGAGGAGACCCATGGGGAACCAGTTCCTGGATGGGTCTCAAACCCATTTCCTACTGAGAAGAAAGGCCTCTACTTCCTCCCAAAGTCAGGCAGTGTGCTGAAAAGCTAGGGACCATATGAGGTATAGAGGGTGAGATGCCTAGCTTGGGGTCCCCAGTCTCCCAGGCCTGACTCTTCTCTCCCAGCCCCGAGCATCCCTGTGGAGACATGTGGAGCTCTGATCATGGCCTGTCAGGGGGCCAATGGCATAGAGCTCTGACTGAGGCAGCCTCTAGCCCCAGGTGGCTAGAGTGTGGAACCTGTACTTTAGTGAGCTCCCACCAGACTCCCCTGGAAATGGTACCAGTCCACACGGGAGAAAAGAAGATGGCAAAGCTGATAGATGGGAGTCTGGATGGGCAGTGAAGACCTCATGGGTCTGGCAGTGAGAATGTGCACCTGTGGGGACATCAACAAGGTCCTAAGGTATGTGTGGAGGCTGTGGCCTGCTAGCCTGGGGGGAAGAGAGTGCCACCAGTATCATGGAGGATATTAATCCTACCCGTAGAGTTCATAGCCTCACTGCTCTTAAGAACCACATGGAAACCTTAAAATTCAAGGACCTTGGCTCACCCCAGATCAGCCAGTGAGGTCTCAGAGGGGTGGGGTATGGGTACTAGTGTTACTAAGGGCCAAGGTTGGGCACTGTGGGATTCAGCATTGGAACTCACTGAAGGTTCAGTAGTACCAGTAGCCTATTGGAGGAAGACACTGTGGGAGAGCCATGCAAAAGAGAAAGGGGACATTAAAAAAGGAAATGCTTGCTGGGTGTTGATGGCGAATGCCTTTAATCCCAGCACTGGGGAGGCAGAGGCAAGCAGATGTCTGTGAGTTCAAGGCCAGCCTAGTCTACAGATCGAGTTCCAGGACAGGTTCTAAAACAATACAGAGAAACCCTGTCTCAAGAAAAAAGGAAGGAAGGAAGGAAGGAAGGAAGGAAGGAAGGAAGGAAGGAAGGAAGAAAAAGAAAAAAGAAAAGGAAATGCTTTCAAGGTTCCCCTCGGCAGAGAAACATGCCAGGGATAGTCATAAGATCTGAGACAGGCAGCACAGCCAGCCTCCCCCTGTAGGGTGGTCTGCCTCCATATCCCAGTCTCCTCATCTACCCACCATGGATGTGCTGCCCACACAGCTGTGGAAAGGAGTCCCAGAGGGAGAAGGCCACCCAGACCTGTAGTAGCCCAACCTCACACCCTCAGGCCTCTACCCAGACTCACTGCAGCTCTGATTCAGGAAAAGTGTGGCATGGGCTGTCCTTCAAATGGCAGCGATATCTGTTGGAGGGCACAGTGAGCCCCAAGGGGCCAGGAAGGGATGCTCTCCCAACAGCTGGGCCACAGATGGAAACCCTTCCATGAACACACACAGTGCTGGCCTACATACACTGGGAAAACTCCAGGGTCACCCCCACACCAGACATGACATGGCCCAGTGCCCTAAAACTCACAACTGGGGAGGGCCTGCCCAGCACAAAATGAGCTTTGAGAGCATACGAGGGGTGGCAACTGGCAAAGCTGGGGACCCGGGGGAGGGAAGCAGGGGAGAAAGCAGTACCAGGAAGGGCTTGAGGACAGGGACAGTGCCTGGATCCCTGAGAGACAGACGGTGAGGCTCACAAGATGGCTACACATTGGCCGTTAGCCCCCGGCATCCACATCTCAGGGAACTAGTGAAAAGTTGTGTGTGACCCACACTGCCCCAAGCACTGATGAAACAGGTCTGAAGCCACAGAGGTGAGTCCCACCTGCCCTGCCCTCTGGGAGACTCCAATGTACAAAGCAGCCACCTGGCTGTGTCAAGAAAGGAGGGGGAAGGGCAGTAAGAAGGAAATGACCTGCCAGGTGGGTGAGGCAGAAGCAGCAGGCACCAAGGAGGGAGGCTGGGGTCAGGAAGGAGACATGTCCTCAGCGTAGTAAAGGGGGCAGCTTGGACAGCTGCGTTAGCAACAGGGGAAGACAGGCTGGTTAGTTTTGATTGCTGTGGACTCGACACACCATAGGATCATCTGGAAAAAGGGCCTCAGTGGGGACTTGTCTAGATTAGGTTGGCCTGTGGGCATGCCCCCTTTTTAAAAGACTTATTTATTATGTGAATAGTCTGCCTGCAGGCCAGAAGAGGGCATGAGGTCTCATTACAGATGGTTGGGAGCCACCACAAGGTTGCTGGGAATTGAACTCAGGACCTTTGGAAGAGCAGGCAGTGCTCTTAACCACTGAGCCATCTCTCCAGCCCCAGGCAATTTCTTCATTGAGTTTTAACTGAGGTGGGGAAACCCACTCTGAATGCTGGTGGCACCTTATCATGGGCCAGGCCCTGGGTAAATGAAGGGAGAGAGAACAGGCCGAGCACCGGCATGGATTATTCAGTGCTCTCTAGTCTTGACTGTGGGTGTGATGGTACAGCTGCTTCAGATTCCTACAGCCCTGACTCCCCACAAACCGAGAGCCAATCAGAGCCCTTCTCCCTTAAGTCCCTTTGTCAGGGTGTCTCATCACAGAAGCAAGATGAGAAGCCAAGACAAGAGGGAGGGCCCCCAGACCGAGGACCAGACAGCTGCCTGTAGAACACACAGTAGGCTGCATACCATTTTAAATATTAACATCATGTGCTCCCAAAAATCATTTTTGCTTATAGACAGTGGATATTAGGGGAAAAATATAGTTTACTTAAATGTAAAGCACATGGCCAACACAGTGACACCCTGATTGTCTCACAGGATTGTGAGCCAGTCCACATTACACGGATCAGATAGCTTCCATCCCTCAGTCCACCTGTCCTCTCTCAGTCTCCTCTGGACCTGGAAACGTTTTCAGGAGTACAGAAGTCACCCACAGTGCTCCTTGGAAAAGCCATTTTAAATTGCTTCCCATCAAGGCTCAGGAAAAATGCCTGCTCTCACCTGGCCACAGCCACACCATACCAGCACTATCCCAAGACACCAGCAAGGACGAGGTCTGAGGTACATCCGGAGAAGAGCAGAGGGAGTCTTTCTCCTTACCACCAAGGGTAGAATTATCTCTAAATTCAGACACTGTGTGAAAATGTTGTCTGACACCCCCAGAGGTTCCCATGGACACATCCTGCCTCTGGCCACAAGGTTGTGATTTGAGACTGGTCCATCTGCCTGTCACAACCCAATTTCCTTAAAAGCACTCCATGCTGGCACAGTTCTGGAAGGGGGCATCCAGCCACCTCCAGTGCATAAAAATAGCCAAGCTGTTTTTAAATGGTTCAGCAGGCCAGGCTGTCATTGGCTGTCATGAAGCTAGACAAAGGCTTCTTGGACCCTTGGGACTTAACCCCAAAATAAAAGGGGCCCAAGAGAGATGTCAGGGCTGCAGGGGCCACAGGCTTCACCTCTGGCCTGTCTAGCATGGGTACAGGTCTAGCTCTGTCTGGGAGCTCTTTGCTGGGCCACCAAGAATAAACATAAGGCTGTCATCTGTGCCTTCACCCACTTATTCCTTCTGTCCTCCCCTACCCAATTGTTCCCAGTCACCACATCTCAATGACAGTCCCTGCCTGGGTTACATCCATGCCCCAGGGCCCTTTCCATCATTGGAGAAAAAATGGCTTGTCCCAGTAGACTAAGAGCCAAAAGGGATGCAGACAGGTTTTCCTATTAATGCAAGTGTTTTCTCCACTTGCTACCTACTGCCCACTCACTAAATAGATCTAGCAGAACCTGCTGTGTCTGGCAGGGTCCTGGGACCTAGGCTGTGGAAGTGGGCCTATGCAATGAACCAAGCACTCCCCAGAGAGTGAGAGCTACAAACACAGAGGCAAGTCTCAGTGAGATGATACCAGGGCTAGGGGATGCTGGACTTGACCCTGGGACCCCTCTAAGTCCAGTGGTACACACAGACCACACCAGGCACAGCTTAAGAGCCTGTCCTAGAACTAACTCTGTAGACCAGGCTGGCCTGGAACTCACAGAGATCCTCCTGCCTCTGCCTCCCGAGTGCTGGGATTAAAGGCGTGCACCTCCAACACCCGGCAGCCACCAAGGAGGGAAAGGAAGATAGGACAAAGCAGAATATACAGTTCTGGCCCTGTTGGTCAGTTGTGGATTTCTGAATCTGCTTCCATATGTTTCTTCATAAGACAGAATTAGACTCCCTTAATATAGGTGACAATGGTGACTGGGACAATATATAAGGCCACTGGTAGGGCGACCAAGATCTAACTCTGATGCATAAACTGACTTAGTGGAGACCATTCTATATGGAGAGATAACCATGCTCAGCCTAGACACAGAGGTGTGGGGGGTGGAGAGGTATCTTGGTCCTGCCTCAATGAGATGATGGGACAGACTTAGTAGACTTCCTAGGGGAGGCCTTACCCTCTTCGAGAGCAGATGGGGTGGGGGAGGAGAGAGAGGAGGGAGGAGGAACTGGGATTGGAATGTAAAAATAAATTAATAAAAAAATTTTTTTTTACGTTCTGGCCCTGTTTCCAACCAGGTACAAATTTTCCTTGGGCCTCAGTTTCTTCCTCAGTAAAATGCTTCTAGCAGAGCTTCCTCTAGAGCCTGACCTTGGTTTCTGTCAGAAATAGTTTTCCTTCTCCAAGTCCAAAAGGAAACAACTGATTCACAAGTGGGCCAACCTGTGGGTTGGTGGCCATGTTGGAACACCTCAGTAGGGCCTGGACTTCTCATACTGGCCCCAAATGCTTCAGCTCTACCCTAACCTCATGAAGTGGCTCACCTCGAGAGACTTTCTTTCCTTTTCTTTTTCCATGTGAGGCAGTTTTTTACAAATGTTTATTTGTGTGTGTGTGCATGTGTGAGTATGTACAGAAGTCAGAGGACAACTGGAGAGAATCTGTCA